TGGAGGGCCCCTTGGTCACAAAGTGAAGGGAGAAGACTATCACGACCACTTCATGCACTCCACGTCCTATGCCTTTCTAACTGTTAGCACATTTATTTTAGGGAATGCTTTAAAATAACTTTTACTAACAACTAAAGTTCTAATCAGGCAGAATTGGAGCAAAAGACAAAATTTAGGAAGGGGAAAGAAATGAGGATGATGGTATTAGTGAGGGTCTGGGCTGGGGCAGGGGAGGGTGTGGGTGAAAGAAAGTCTGTGGAGATGAGCCCCACCCCCTGAGAACTCCCCGCCCAGCACCTCTTTCCCCCGCCCCCCGGCCACTGGAAGGCCCACTGTCCTCATCTGACATTGCTTCCTGAATCCCACAATCTAGCCACCACCATTTTATCAACATGCTCCTCCAACAAAATTTAAGAGATTTTTAAAATATTTTTTGCATTTCTATCCTGTTTCCTCAGTGACAGAGAGACACTTTAGGAACAAATAGATAGATCTGCTTTTGAAAAACTTCACTTACTACAACAAAATGAATTTTGAAGGGAAAAGGCCCAGGGGCATTAACTTTTCATTTTATATTTCATGTGCTTCAGTTTTTGCCCAGTCAACATAAGACATCTTCCTATGAAAATGTACTCTGCCTTTTTAATTTTTAAAAAATATGTTTTTATTGATTTTTAGAGAGAGAGGAAGGGAGAGGGAGGGAGAGACAGAAAGGGATCGAGCCTGCAACCCAGGCACGTGTCCTAATTGGAAGTCGAACTGGCGACCTCTTGGTGCATGGGATGACACTCAGCCACTGAGCCACACCGGCCGGGCCCATGCCTTCTTAGAGAAGGCAAAAGCAAAAGGTGCTTCCCTTTAGAATGTCCCCATGAGCATGCCTTGTGCTCCAGGCCTGGGGGATCTGCCACTACCACCGATGTTGGTACAACATCTACTATCAAACAGAAAGATTGAGAAACTGGACAAAAGAATGTGCCGAGTTGTCTGAAGGCTGCACAGTGTTAGTGTTACAGGTTTTAGCTTACTAAGTAAGGCTCTGGCCTATTTTTTAATTTACATTGTACTCTGGTAAGCTTTTAGAAGTGGTAAAATTTGCATTTATAACTTTATTTTTTTCTGAAAATTCAAAAGGTGATCTACTTTAGAATAGTAAATGCTTAAATCCTTAACCTCATCTTCCCACCCTAAAATAACATAAACAAGTTTGAATCCTGCTAGGAACCAAAAACAAGAGTAATGATTTCCGATAATGATTGGATAAATCTACTTTTACCTACCATAAGCTCTTTCTATTGGCGTTGTGACTCACACTGGGTTAGGCAATACTATCCTATGAAAAGTTTCACTTTCTTTTGCATATTATTGCAAATATATATTACATATATTCTTTTACATATTAAAATATTTACACATTTTCTTTATATAGTCTTGAATCTACAGTTACAAAAAACAAGCCAAAATTATCAACTCATGTTAAGTCATCAGTAAAGGAATGAAGGAAATCTGAGTACTAGACAAATAATGGCAACATTTTTATCTAGGATATGCCTTAAAATATAGTCTTATCTTAAAAAAAAACCCCAAAAACCATTGCTCTGATTGTCTAAATTGAGAATTAAGACATTACTGGAGAGAAAGACTTGCCCATGGGGTACATGACTAACCTGGACGCCTGCCCACTCCATACTTGAGGCCTTAGGATAGCAGAAGGGAAGGGAGGAGGGAGAAGACAGGGGCAAGGAGGGGGAGGGAGAAGACAGGGGCAATCAAAGGCAAAAGGTATGCTGAGTGAGTGGATGCTGTTCAGTAAATGTCAAGAAGCAAATTAAAGCAACTAACATGAAGAGTGCTGTCCATTCGTAGGCTGTGGGACAGCAGGGAGCTGTGCATCCCATCTCATAACATCTTTTCCCTTCTGTGGGGTGTAGTGGGGATAGTCTGGATCAGGAGTCAGGGTGTGGGTGCAAGTACTGGCTTCATAATTTGCTAGACATGTGCAATTGAACGTATAATAAATTCAAGAATAAACAATGTACTGACAGTCCCGACTTACAATGTTCTAATTTATGATATTTTGACTTTATGTTGGTGCAAAAGCTATATGCATTCAATCAAAACTGTACTTCAAATTTTGAATTTGTGGCATGCGGTACACAACCTCTCTCGTGATGCTGGGCAGCAGCAGTGAGCCACAGCTCCAACTCCGCAATCACCAGGGTAAACAACAGATACTCTACAGTGTACAGTGTGGGTAGCATTTTTTAGAAATTGTATTTTGTGATTTTGCATCCCATCATGTCTACAAAATTCCCATCTGTGTCTCTTGCTTCTGGTGAGAAAGAATAGAAAAGCAATTACTCTTGAGATGAAACTCAAGATAACTGCCTAGTGGTAGGCTAACGTAAATGTCCTGAGCATGTTGAAGGCGGGCTAGGCTAAGCTATGATGTTTGGTAGGTTAGGCGTATTTCATGTAAAGACCTATAGAAATAGTACAAAGCTACAGATCAGTGACAGTTAAATTTAATCAAGTGGAACAAAACATTGATATTCACTATTGTCCACAGGATGTATCTTAAAAATCAGGCATACAGGGTATTCCTGGTAAATTCACAGCCCCACTCTTACTGTCACTTCTCCCCACCTGCCCCTACTCTGTCTTGCATAACTGCTCCCACACACAGCTGACCATTGTGTTCTCTTGGTCAAGATTCACCATAGCTTTCTATTCCTATAGACTTGGGTCAATGTTCCTTACTTCTGCTTTGAAGGCCCTTCGTCACTTGGAATGGAACAACCATGCCAACTGCATTTCCTGAAGGCCCCTAGGGTCCCAGGCCACCTACAGATCCTGGATCCCCCCTCTCTGCGTCAGAACCTGCCTGCCACTCTTTCTGGCCACAGTGCTCTCCCAGTGTATTGACTAGTGAAGTTCTTTCTCGGTTTGGCCCCAATATCCCCTGATTCTTGAAGACTTTTTTGACCATACTGGCTAATTTAGTCACCCTCTCCCAGGCTAGCCTTCTGAACACCTTCATATAAGAGAGGGAAAATTATATTTCTTTCTGTAGAAGGGCAGACATTAAATTAAGGAAGAGTGAAATATTCACTGTACACTGGTGTGTTTGGCTTTGCTGCTCATGTGTTAAACTAAGAAAAGTGGGAAAACCCTACACCTGGTTGTGTCTGGATGAAGGAAAGTCAATGCGGTTCTATGAAACCCTTCTAAATCCGATGTCCTGTTTTTGCTTCCTATGATGTGGTCACTCCCAGCCAGCAGCAGAAGCAGCACTTGTGTATGAATGGAGAGGAGTGGACAGCCATCCCACTCTGATCTCTCTGCTCTAGGTCACATCCCAGACCCAAGCTCAGCCAGATGACCTACAAAAGGGACCCATGAACCCACACTGGTCTAGCTCTTCATCTGACTTTTCATCTAATGATACTGAATGTATGCTCACAATGGCAGTGGCCTACGTCCTTAGCTCAAACATCATGCATATGTAATTATGGTACTATATTATTCAGGGCGGATTTTAACTGATGGAGCTAAGTGGGTTTTTGTTGACTGTACTTCTACAGTTGATTCTAAGAGACTTCCTTCCATGATCTTTGTTAGGCACGGTGGCAGTCTTTACAAGTGAAAGACGCTCTGCAGGAAAAAATTACTTTAATAGTTGCAAATAACTAAAATAGAAAAATCAGGTATAAAGGGATAGAGTGCCCACAGTTTTAGCTTTGGGAGAGTTTGATTTCTTATGCTGACACAGGGGGCTTCAGGAAGGTAATAGACTTTAAGAGATTATAAAATAGATGGCTCAACAGGGGGTTTGGAGAACTGTACATTTGGCTTTTGATGGAGCCTATCCAGAGAAACCGTGTCAAAAGATCATTATTTTGTGACCTTGAGGGGAAACAAAATCGTCAGAGGATTTCCTATTCCTGCCCATGAATGCACATCGATGTTTATGGAGACAGACTCTCTTTATCTCCCTTTATGCATGCAGACTTCACACAAGCACACACATCCCTCTCAAGACTAGAGGCTGAAAGCGCCGTTATTAATATTCATGAGGTAATTATTATTAATGTCACCAAGGTGATTCTGTTCCTTCTCAGTAGAGACGGGTTTTTGCACCTAGAAACCAATCGACTGTAGGAGAAATGGCAGCTCTGAGGCAGCCTGGCAAAAGCAATCCTGTACATTTTACTTTTGAAATATAGGTTATTTGACTTAGGTATTTTAGGCACCTTTTGCACCCACCCCATCATTAACTTTATCCAGCAGAGATTTCCAACTCTGGTCCACAACGCAAGATCCTTGGGAGTACAGTTTCTGGAGTTTGGAAAAACTTGATTATTACGATTTTTTTTCTAAGAGCAAAAATTAAACAAACATAAGGATGATTCAAAGATATCTTGAGAGGTTTCTGGGAAATGATTTTTGTGAAAGTGCATTGGGAGAAAATCACAGCACATTTATTATTTAAAAAAATTCATACAACAGGCCTTATTAAAGAGCTATTCTAAGAATTATAGGTTCTTGCAATCACAGAGAAAATTTAAAAAAAGCTACTGGCAACAGTTAACCAGATCCTTATGCATCTGTCATGGACCCTCCCCCAACCAACTGGCCAGCCGAGGTATTCTATGTACATGATATGTCATAAGAAATTACTGGAAAATTCTGTTTTCCTATCCAGAGAAAATCATAGAAAATGAACTATTTTTGGTTGAAATGAAAATGTTTATTTTTTGCCCAAGACCTAAGAAAACATGTTAAATAAGTTGAATACTGGTGCAGGTACAGGATAGTGGGAGATGCCTAGACCTCTTCAGTACCTCATTAGAAATGTTTTTACTAACTTCTCATACTCCACTGCCATATCAACAGTCATCTTTCCACACATTCTGATCTTTAGGAAAACAGCAATTACAGTTACAGAAACAGAGAGAGCGTATGAGAACAGCAGGAGGTGGCAATGACATAGGACTCACCTTAGGCATCCAGTAGCATTTCGCAGCACCTGTGAGGAATGCAGTTGTATTTTTCGGTCGTCCTGAAGAGGTGAATTTTCCCAGCCCGAATGGGGAATAATCACGGCGTTGGTCAACACCGCCAGGGTGTCTTGTATGATTGGCATTTTGAGAGCATCACAGGATGAGAGGTTCCAAAGGACTCCTGCAAGATAGACACAAACAGAGCTTTTGGATGGGCATTGTTTTTTTCATCTCAAAACCGTGTCCCTAACCAGGTTAACAGCACGAGCAGAGGGATTAAGATACTGTGAGCACGTGTCCTAGAGCACACCTTTAATTTTAGAACATCTATGTGAACCCATTAAAAGAGTTTTGTGAAGCCCCCCGGCTGCTGTGGCTCAGTAGCTGAGCCTCGACCCATGAACTAGGAGGTCGCGGGTTGATTCCCTGTCAGGACACACGTCTGGGCTGCAGGCTTGGTCCCAGTAGGGGGCGTGCAGGAGGCAGCCAATTGATGATTCTCTCTCATCACTGATGTTTCCTCTTTCTGAATTCATTAAAAACATATTTTTAAAAAAAGAGTGCTGTGAATATCTGACAAGTGGGCAGAAGAGTTGTGACATGATTATCTTTGTTTCATCATGGAGACCAACCAAGGTTGAGAGATCTGACTGAACTGAGATTCCAATACAATGGACCCAGGTACCCAAATTCTAACCAAGACCAAAGAGCAGTGAAAGTTGTCTGAAATGGGCTACTAGGCCATGCTAGTTTTATCCAAGACCTCCCTATGCACACGTGGTCTATTCGATTCACTTAGCTTCCATGGGGAACCGGCCACCATCACAAAGGACCTTATGAGAATCCTGAATCAGGTCTGATGACAAAAGGCTCAACAAGAAATTCAAATTTCCTATCACTTGTGACAGTTTTGTCAGCTTTTCTCTGAAAGCAGTGCTCAAGGAGGACCTACAGACTGTTATTTCTTATATAACGACAAAGGGCAGTAGAAAGCGGAGGGTGTGTCTGCCAAGGACAGAGTATAACAGTAATGATGAAGGCAGAGCCAAAGAAAACATTTTTGGACAGAAGAAATGTTTCAGGCTTCCAAATATTTTTTAAAGAGGCTTTAAAATGAGATTAATCTTAGAAAAGGTCATAGGTACTGCATATATATATATGTATATATTATAATATCATTTGAAAATGCCTTCAAAATAATTATTCTTTTTGTTGTTCAAAACAGTTTACATTTAGGTAAAAGACACAGAAAGTGCTATTCCATTTTCCTATAAAAAGACTGCATTCTCCCTCCAGACTAATCTAACAGGCATCATCATTGCAGATACTGGGGATAAAAAGCATGGTTGCCTTCAGGAACACAACTTTGAACTTACTTGTTTAATAAGTTTTCAATAATTTTAAACATGAGATTGTACTTTTTCTACTCATAATGAACAGACCATATATTTCTGAAATTTGCTTCGCTGGTTCCTTGAGTGCGCATATTGAACTATCAAAGCACATTAATAACACTAAACTGAAAGTCAATAATGTCAGACTGTTAACAACTAAAGTAGTTAACAGTTTTAGATCAATTCTACAAAAATGTGACTTTAGAGACAAACTCATCCAACCATTTTTCAAAGTAACATCTGCTGGGCATTTTAGTTAAGTAAATGCAAAGGAAACAAAATAGTGCCTTGTATGTACCAGTCAATCCTTTAGCATAGGGGGCTGGCTTGAGGGCAATTCTGGCCTGCCTGTCTTTTGTAAATAAAGTTTTATGGGAACACAGTCATGCCTGTTCATTTACATATTGTCTATGGCTGCTTTGTCCTATAGGGAAGAGCTGAGCATACGAAAAATTCTCAACAGTGCACAGAAGGTCCTAAAAAATATATTGGGATTTGGACTGATTTGAGATACTAGAAATATTATCATGCACATTTATTTTGTTTTAAATAATATATGAACCTGTTTCTTTATTCAACCCATTAAGAAATGTTTTATGAAATTTTGGGTAATCAAAATGATTACCTTTGTTCATTTGCAGTCTCACAAAAATATTCTTTTTTTAAGTAAAATAATTAGCTTTTCAGTTTTAAAAATTACATTAAAATGAAATTAATATCTACCCTACAATTTGAGGATAACTGTAAAACATCACATTAACGAGGCTGAGTCTGTTCTTCTAACTATACAATGCAAACATACAGAAACAAAAAGAAATTCTTTTTTCATTCCCAAATCCTGATTTAAAAATACCAATACATGAAAATTGAGGTTTGTAAATGTTTTACAATATTGTTGACATGCTGTGCTATAAAGCATACTTCCTCTAAAAACTAAATAGTAAAAGAAACTTTTGTATTTTTACATGCAACAAATTTAAAGAATATAAAGGCATTTTATGATAATACCGTAATTTTTACTGTTTCCTAACAATCAGAAAAGAGGTCAGAAGAGGGGAAAATTAAAAAAAAAAAAAAGTGAAGGCCTAATCTAATATCTTACAAGAGAAAAGTTGGAAAAGAAGATGGGATCCAAAGTAAGTCTTTATTGGGCTTTTCTCTCCTTTCCTTTCTCATTAATTCATTAATTAGTGTAACCCAATTCAGAATTGTGCTGGCACAGATGTTTCCTGGTTCACATTCATTCCACCTTCCCGGCTGGCTCCATCTGTGCTTCACATTCCAATGAACTTATCCGAATGCCTGACCCACACCTCCGAACTTTCCATCTTAATTTCTATCTGCAGCGCACAGTGCTTCCTGCGCCTATGAGAACTATAATGGGTCTCTGATCCCAGGCAGCCTTTCCACCTCTGTTTCGATGAGGACTTGGCAAAGTGGATGTCATGTGGCAGAATTCAGCAAACTAGTTGCAGGGGGCCCTCAAAACTTTGAATCTTGGTTAGATTATGTGGACACCAGAGATAAGCTTGAGTGTATAATCAGCAGCCTCTGGGGACATTTGAGATAAAGGTAGACATGTCTGGTAGGAGTCAAAAGTGGGAAACAGCTGGGAACTCCACATCTGTCTTGCTGAAGACACACACACAGGCCATTAGTCCTGGCCAAAGGGAGAGAGATTAGGAGATTAGGACAAAAATGAACATAATTAGGCATTCTCTGTGAACAAACAAGAAATAGGTGTTTTGCTCAAATTTGTCTTCACTCATATCTCTTTCTTCTGTGCTGGTCTAAATGCCCAAACATTTCTGACATTCCTTTCAAATGGAATGAGTGATTCACTCTGAGCAACAGAATATGGTGGAGGTGACTGTGAGTGGCTTCTGAGACTAGGTCATACAAAAGGTACTGTGGCATCCTCCAGGCTGTCTCAAATGACCTTACTGAAGGAAGCCTGTTGTCGTGCTGTGAAAACCCAAAGCAGCCCTGTGGATGGGCCCATGTGGCTAAGAACTGAGGCCTCCAGCCAACAGTTACACAGTTACAGTCAACTGTGTAACTAAATTTAAAATAAATTTAATTTAGATTGCAAACGATTTCTAACTTTTAAAAATGTATCCTTCTTCATGTTTGAAAGTTATACATGGCTAAACACTTTCTTTAATTTGGAATAATCCTGTATTAGTTTCCCATTGCTGCTGTAACAAGTTACCACAAGTGTAGTGGCTTAAAACAACACAGATTTACTATCGTACCATCCTGGAGGTCTGAGTCTAAAATGGAACAGCAGGGCTGCGCTCCTTCCGGAGGCACTAAGGGAGAGTGCCCTTGTCTTTTTAAGCTTCTAAAGGCTGCCTGGGTTCCTTGGCTTGAGGTTGGCATTGCTTTGACCTCAGCATCTATTATCAGTCTCCTTCTCTGATCCTGATCCTGTTATAAGGACACTTGTGATTACACTGAGCCCAGCTGGATAACCCAGGACAACCTCCTCATCTCAAGATCCTTCACTTGATCCCACGTGCAAGTTCCCTTTTACTATGTAAGAAAACATTCACAGAATCTGAGAATTAGGACGTCCTCAGGGGGCCATTATTCAGTATACCACACATCCTCTTAAAGTATTCTGTCACGCTTAAAATAAAATTAAACCTCTAATTGTAGCTTCATGATCAGGCCTATCCCTAAACCTCTAAATTTACCTTCGATCAGATCCTTTCATCGCCCCTTTGTTCACTCCGTGCACACTAAGGACCTGCTGTGCGGCAGGTTCTGTTCCATGCAGTGGGCGCACCAGCAAATGCCCTCATGGCCCTTCCATTACCGTGACTCTAGGCATCACGCTCTAGCCATCAGGGCCTCATTTCCTCTCCTTGATCACACAAGCTCCTTCGTAACACAGACCTCCTGGGCTCGATGCTCTATTTCCCGAACATTCCCCTCCAGGACTTTCCAAGGTTGACCCTTCTTACTGCTCACCTGGCACCTTCAACGTGCCAAACTCAGAGAAACTTTTCTGGATGAGTCTAAAGTACTGTCCCAGACACTTGCTACCAGACTTCCTAGTTTAATTTTCAGCAGAGACCTCATCACTAACACATACTTCCTCTGCCTTTTCATCACCTGATTTTCTGTCATTCACTCACTGTCCTTCCTCACAAGGTCCCAGCCATGAAATGAAAGCAAGGACCCTGTCCGAGCGCTCACAGCATACAGAACACATACAGCACATGGACCATGCTCTGTCACACAGTAGGTGCTCAGCAAATAGATGCAAGTAAGTACAAGAATTAACAAATGGATAACATGAACCTTATAGGATGTCGTGCTCCTAGCATCAAACATCCTTTAAGTATGATAGTACTGGCAAAATGAAGTAACAATTTGAAAGAATAAAATAGTAGATGCAAGATGTAATGTTACAAATAAATCCAAATAGGAATACAAAAATGTCATTTCAATGGGTTATAACCCTTGACTCTACAGAAATTCTACATTTAGCTAGTAGAAAAAAATTATATCACTAAACGGCTTTAATCAGTTTAGCATTAGAAGGCTTATCTCCAGTGCTTCATTTGGGTAATTTTCTTATATTAACTCCCTCATAATTCAAATTAGCCAAGGCAATACAAAAAACCAATTCGTGGAAAAACTGTGAAATAAATTGAATTCACAGTGGTATTCAGCAGGCATAGCAAGCTACCCCATTTATTCTTATCTGGAAGTAAAATAAAAATGTTTTAGCATTTTGGTTGATGGTCACTAGCAAATTTTAATTTACCTGATGAAA